CAGTGGTTTGTATGTCAGGTCCAGTTCAATGTGTTTGTTGATGGAGTTCCGGTTGGAATGCCAGGCCTCCAGGAATTCCCTGGCATGTGTCTGTTCGGCTTGTGCTGTTATGGATGTGTTGTCCCAGTCGAATTTGTGTCCTTCTTTGTCCATAGGTATTGAGACCAGTGAGAATTGGTCTTGTCTCTTGGTGGCTAGTTGGTGTTCATGTATCTTATTGTCAGTTTTCTTCCAGCTTGGCCTATGTAGTATTTCTCACAGTCCTTGCATGTTATTTTGTATATTACGTTAATTTTATTGGTTGTGGTTATGGGATCCTTTATGTTCGTCAGTAGCTGTCGCAGGGTGGTTGTTGGTTTGTGGGCTACCCTGATACCTAGGGGTCTGGGTAGTCTTGTGGTCATCTCTGATATGTCCCTGTCACAGTAGGGTGACTAGTGTGTTTGGCCGTGTTGTGTGTCTTCTTGTTGTGGTCTGTTGCAGAGGTAATGGCAGATTGTGCTTTTAGGTATCCATTCCTTTTAAAAACTCCATACAAGTGCTCCTGTTCTGCTTTGCACAATTCCGGCTTGGTGCAGTGTTTATGGCCCGTTTGAATAATTATCATAGATTATCATAGAATCCCTACAGTGTGGAAACAGGCCCTTCGGCCCAACAAGTCCACACCGACCCTCAGAGCATCCCACCCAGACCAATCCCACTATAACCCACCTAATCTACACATCCCTGGACACTATGGGCAATTTAGCATGGCCAATCCACCTAACCTGCACATCTTTGGACTGTAGGAGGAAACCCACACGGACATGGGGAGAATGTGCAAACTCCACACAGACAGTCGCCCAAGGGTGGAATCAAACCCAGGTCACTGGCGCTGTGAGGCAGCAGTGCTAACCACTGAGCTACCGCGCCGCCCTTTTGTTCTTCTGTTCAGAACAAGCATAGAAAGCATTGAGCTTGTCAGGTAGGGAGGTACTGTTGCATGCGATTCTGTTCGACTTTGCTTTGTATGTCCTGATGCAACTCCGTTTATGGGTGTTGAGGTGGTTGCTGGAGTAATTAAGTATCTGGTCTGTACGTGTGGTCTTTCTGTATATGCTAGTCTGGAGTTCTCCATTGTTCTTACATTCTACCATTATATCTAGGAAGGGTAGTCTAGTATATATGGTTCATTAGAAAAGACAGACAAGACCAAGCCAGACAACGAAGTAACTCTGAAGAACTAAACTACATTTATTTCAATGGAAGGAGTCTTACAAGTAAGGCAAATGAATGCAGGGCAGGCTTGGAAACATGGAATTGGGATGTCATAGCTATTACAGAAACTAGGCTGAGAGATGGACAGGACTGGCAGCTCAATGCTTTGGGTTTCAGATGCTTTAGGAAGGATAGAAAGGGAGGCGAAAGAGGAGGGGCTGGCAATTTTGATTAAGGAAAGCATTATTGCTGTGACTAGAGATGATATTTCCGAAAAATCATCCGGTGAAATATAGGGATTGAAATTAGAAATAAGAAAAGAATGATCACCTTGATGGGATTTTACTATAGCCCCGCCCCCAGTAGTCAGAGGGGGACCGAGGAACAAGTATGTAGACAGATCTCAGATATATGTAACAATAATAAGGGTGTAATAGTAGGTGATATTAATTTTCCAAACATTGACTGGACTACCATAGAGTTGAAGGTTTGGATGGTGAAGAATTTGTTAAATATGTTCAAGAAAATTTGCTTGGATAATAAGGCAGGGCGAGTGCCTGAAGTGATATTAGGGGAACACTCTGGGTCTAGCGAACATAATTCTATTAGTTTTAAAATAGTTATGGAAAAGGATAAGCCTTCCATAAAAAGTTTTTAATAGCAGTAAGAAAAAATTTAACGGTGTGAGGGAAGAACTTTCAAAAGTTGATTGGAGTAGACTGCTCACAGGTGAAGGGATTTCTGATAAGTGTGATAATGGGAGTTCAGAGTCATTATGTTCCTGTTAGCGTGAAAGGTAAGACTGGTAGGATTAGGGAACAATGGATGAATAAAGATATTGAAGTTTTAGTCAAGAATAAAAAAAAAAATCATATTTGGTGCAGACAACGTGATTCAAATGAATCCCTTGACCAGTATAAAAAGAGTGTAGGGGTATTCAGTACTGGATCCACTTTGTTTGTCATTTATATAAATGATTTAGATGACAATATTGAAAGCATGTTTACTAAGTTTGCAAATGACACCAAAATTGGTGGCAGAGTGGACAGTGAAAAAGCTTACCTAAGATTACAAAGGGATCTTGATCAATTGGGTCAATGGATTGAATGAATGTCCTTTATTGTCAGGTGCATGCAATATAAAATACAGTGTACTGTCACTCCTACATAAGCACCAGTCACAGAATAAAACAAAAATAAAAAGAAGTGGCAGACAGAGTTTAATTTGGGTAAATGTGAGGTACTGCGTTTTGGTCAAACAAACAAGGGCAGGGCACATACCATTAAAAGTAGGACCTTGGTTGGTGTTGCAGGACTGAGAGACCTAGGGGTTCAGCTTCACAATTCTTGCCGAGCTATGGACCAAATGGTGAAAAGTGTGATGAGGTTAGTGACTCATTTTTTACCAGTTAGAACAGATATGCTGGGCCAAGTGGCCTTTCTCTGCACCATAAACTTTCTAAGATTCTGTTCTATCTTGTTTTTAGGAGGTCTAATTGTCATGAAGGTGATCACAGAAGATCAGAGAAAACCATCCATCCTTTGATTGTGAATAAGATATTGTGTAATGCACAATGTATTACTTGGGCCACTAAATTGGAATCAAATGCCACTACCTGCATATCACGTCAGGAAATCAGGAAATTCTCCTGAAGCCTATAGCAGTACTGCACTGATACACCTGCCTGTATTAATCATGTGCTCAAGTTAGAGGTGAGAGTGCTACCACTGAGCCAAGGTTGATACCTTGCAGACAAAATAATTTATAATGTGAGGGAGAAAAGTGACAAAGATGTGATACTAGGCTGAGTGGTGTGCTACATACAGTTGCAAGATTTGGAACAAAAATACATTTATATGTTTGATACAAGCTCAATCAATTGTTGTCAAGTTAGAGCATTATTAAACATCCTTAAAGTTATTTATCATACAAAATTAATTAGGGAATCTATTCCCTATCCTGGTCAGTATTCCCTCTTTCCAGATTAACAACAATAAAACTGACATAATGCATATGATTCTTTACATTGAAGAATGACCAAAGTGATACTATCTTCAGTTCTGAAGAAGGGTCGCTGGACCCAAAACGTTATCTCTGCTTTCTCTCCAGAGATGCTACCAGACCTACAGAGGTTTTCGTGCAATATCTGTTTCCAAAGCTGGGAAATAGTTCAAGGCCAGGATCGATCCTTAGTTGACATTGTAGGTAATGGTGTGGGAGCAGGAACCATTACAAGTGATTTTCCGACAATGAGGAGAGTTGCAAACGAACTAGAGAAAGGTATGCTCAGGGTTAAGGCAGCGGGAAACTTTGGAGAAAGTCTGTGTGGAATGCATTTGGCATGATTCACATAAGCAATTTTAGCTGATGAGAGCAAGTCCCAATCATTCTTTACATGGCCCGGGCAAATCTGGCAATGGATGACTACACCATAGCTGTTAAGGTCTGCATTCCATGGATGTAGTGGAGCAGCTGGATGATAGAGAGGGTGATGGTTTTATTGGGTCTTTGGCAGTAAAGTTCAAAGAATTAGTGCAATTAAGCAAATCAGAACCTGTAGAAATATTATGGAAAATGGAGGGCAAAAGTTTAGAAGGTTAGGTAGCTGGAATTTTCAAAGTGCAGTTTTAAGTGAATTGGGGGTTAGATTTTGCCAGAAGGGAATTTTTGTCTCTTTTTGAAGATTGTGTGACTGTCTCAGAAGGCAATGGAGACAAGGCTATTGAATATTTTCAAGGTGGATTCTTGTCAAGCAAAGGAATGTAAGGTTATTGGAGGCAGATGGAAAAGTGGAATTCAAAATACAAATCAAATGAACTCTGATTTTATGAAATGAAGGAGCATGCTTTAAGTGCCAAATGGTCTACTTCTACTTTTTCTACAAACATACATCAATAGTAGTAGTTTTGGAGAAGTAAAGAGGATAGAAGTAAAATGTAATAGCAGAAGTGAAAAGAGAAAGATAGGCTCGGTCTTGAAACTTGAGAGCAAATCACTAAATTTTCTCTTGCTGCTAAGGGCATTTTACGGTAAATGTGTGTTGGTATCTTACATGGCAGTCTTGAATAATCGTGAGATTAAGTCCCACTGCAAGTCTTCAGCACATAATTGAGGCTGATGTATCACTGCATTACTGAGGAATGCTGCACTGTTGAAGATGCCAACTAAGGTAAATGTTCAATATCACAAAGTAATCCATTTGCTATGAAGTATTTTGGACATCAGAAGCAAATAAATGGTGTTATATAAATACAAGTTCTTTGCATAAAGGATCTTCAGGCTGGAACAGAAATACTAATGAGTATCAATTCATTGAATAACACTGAACTAATGTTGCTTGAACAGAAATTGGAAGATTGTGGAGGAAAAAGGAGAAGAGCAAAAACCATAGCAGATCATAATCACCCCTCACCTTGTGCGACATTTTTGTACATAAATAGACGTACCATAATGTCTGGCACAAAGCTGCATTTCACATTCAGGTTGGCACCAGGAGTCAATAGGACGAACATTAGTTGGGAGATATTGGGAGACATTGCCAATCAGAATTGAATGTTGTAGATTTAGGACCAATTGGTAGTTGCTGGCACAAACAAACAAGAAACATCCCTTGATTTAGTCAGGATCAGATTCACTGGCATAGCTAAATCATAGTCAGAAAAGCATTGCTGTTGTGTCCCATGTAAAACCACCTGTTTCTCAATCCATTCAAAACCGCATGTTCCATGTTTTAATGAAATACGAGAAATTTTGAAGAGTCAATGGCTTATTTTTAAGCTAAGATTTGCATGCAGGGAGCATACCTTATGATTCTGTACAGATGGTTTCTCGGATACAGCACACTTCCAACATCCTCTAGGACTTTTCCACTTACGAACATTTGGCAGCATTGGCTGATTCAATTCTGCACAGAACTGCAAAAGAGAAATTTTGATTGGGGCATAAAGCCTCTGAGCATGTTTGACATTAAAGCTATATTTCAGCAGTTTTTTTAAAAACTCCAGCAAAATTTGATCTTTTCTGATTTCACATTGAAGTCTGTCAAGTGCATACTAAAAAATGCAATGAAACAGTTAACAGTGCTCCATGCGCATAAGTACATGGAGATTGTTGTTGAATGAATTGTACTTGTCCTAGATTCTACAGTCACAGTAATAATAGAAAGGACTGAACTAATAGCTGTTAGCTTTATTTTGTCCGTAAGCCGTTGGTCAACAAATAATTCAAACAATTTACTGTAGAAATACTTTATTCATCCCAGATAGGAACATAGCTCATAACCTCTTTCTTCAGAACAATTAGGGAGGAACATTAATACTGGCTTAGCTAGTCATACCCGTGAACAAACAATAAAATGTGACATAATTAATTGGAGAACCTGTGTTTCCAATCTAAAACAGGAAAAAAAAACTTACATTTATATCATACATTTCACAATCTCAAGATATCCTAAAACATTTTACAGGCAATGCAGAATTTTTTTTAAATGGAGTCCCTGTTACAACGTAGGAAATTGGAAGGCAAACACTGCACAGCAAATTCCTACAGATAGCTATGAAAAAATGAGCAGGTATTGCTTTAGTAATGGTGTTGAGGTATAAGACCAAGGGAGAACTCCATTGTTCTCCCTTAAATGCTTGCATGGAATATTTCACATCCACCTGAAAGGGCTGACAGAACTTTGACTTTATCTGTCATCCAAATGATGTTTTAAGACCAAGTACAGCACGTTTCTCTCAGCACTGCACAGCAGTGTCAGCCTAAATTTTATGTTTACGTTTCTGGAGTGGAATTGAACCATTAACCTCCTATCTCGGAGGGAAGAATGTAACAACTCAGACACAGCACCAAATTATTATGATCCACAGATTGGATTAGGGTTGCCAACTCCAAGTAAAGCTATTCCAAAAGATTTTATTCTCTACACATAAATATATAATCCATTGACCTATGTTCAATAAAGCCATTCATATTTATTTCTATGTGGTTGCTTGGCAACCAATTACCATCAGCTGATAGTTGTGTTAGAGCGCTGACACCGATTCCTCTTTTTAGGGTGAATTTTCCCTAGCTACTGCCTTGCTGAAGCGTATTAAGGTAATGCGTATTCTGAGGGACCCATTCGAAATAGCTACAGTAACCATTTGACTGGATTTGACACCAAAGATGTGATGTCCATTCTGGTGATTTCCTCAAGATGCTTCTGAACAGGAGTCATTAAGAAATGTGGAATGTTCCTTGATGTGTACAGACATAATGATTTAGTATCCTTCTTTAAGCAGATAATATAGCCAGTGTTGAGTTTCCTTAATCCTGTGAACAAATTTAGGATGCTCCATCTTAAAGGAACTTGTACTCCAGTGTTGTTCAAGTTCTTCAATCTTTAGAATAAAATTAAGAGCATAATACACCTTCCTGCCCATGAAAGAGGTTATCTGATTATAAATTGCCAATGCATTCTCTATTAATATGATACAGTTTATGCTGCAGTTTTACTTATAGTGTACATTTAATGTTAGGAGTTATTCTACCTGGATCATGTAGCCCCATATCTATGGGTTGTAACTTCTGTTTCCTCAGCTATGGTATTTGATCTGATATGACAATAACACTAACCTCTGCATCAAGCTTAAAATTACTGAGATAACCATTTACATAAACTGGTCCTGTGAAACTCAAGTCAGTTGAATTACCAATTACCCCAATTATTGTCTCACAATGAAGCAATTCTGTATCTTTAGAGCTGTTTTCTTGAAGATCCCCAATTCGGTGTTCTATTTGGCCCATCTCTGATATTAAATCTTTGTGACAGCATTATTTTTCCTACTTTGTCTTCTTAATGCAATCAATCATTTATTCTCCTTCCTTTAAAGTGGAGTTAAATTGTGCAGTATCGAAATGCTGCTGTATTTCTGGCTTTAAAGCTTTTAATCCTGTAATAAGCCAGTATTGGTTTAATCTCTTTGCTTGGAAGACTTCTACTTCTATAAATAGCAATGCCACTTTATTTTCATAGTTTTGTGAGCTTTTAAATTGCAATATTGGAATTCTGTAGTATTTTTCTTTTTAAGCTTTAAGTTCTGTATTGTTATATCATTTTATTCTAATATAGTTTTAAATTTTATAACATACGTACTGTACTTTTCTGTAATTTGTTGTATTAACCTGCGCTGTTAAATAGAGGGTCTGACTGCCTTTTTGCAGTTTCTCACCTTCTGCAGCAAAAATAAAGTATGTCCGCTTTTTTATGGGTAAAGTGGATACTTGCCCATCCTTCACAAACTAAATTACAACAGATTTCCCCTTCCATGATTTTGCATTAAAATTTTATGACTGCTGTTTAATAAATTTTCCCAAAATGTCTCATTCTACTCACAATTTTAAAAGTCTACAATCTTCTTTTGTTAAACTCTGTCTGCTTTATCTTTTTAATTGTCCTTTAGTCACATTACATTTTCCCACAATGTTTCTGATGTTACTACCTTGGTATAAATTAAATCTAGTGACCTTGACTTCCTAACTGTAATTATGTCTATTTTTATTCATTCATTGGATGAAGGTGCTGCTGGCTGGGCCAGCATTTATTGCCCAGAGGGAAGTTAAGAGTCAACCATATCGCTGAGGGTCTGGAATCACATGCAGGCCAGACCAGGTGAGGATGGTAATTTTCCTTCCATAAAGGATATTAGTGAGATAGGTGAGTTTTCCCGACAATCGATTCATGGTCGTCACTAGACTCTTACATCCAAAATTTTATTGAATTCAAATTCCATCATCTGCTGTGGCAGGATTTCAACCTAGGTCCCCAAAACATTACCTAGGTCGCTGGATTAACAGCTCAGCAATAATACCACAAGGCCATCGCCTTCCTCACTGGTGTGCATGCTGTACGGCAGCAACACTCATTGTGAAAGGCAAGTGTTCTTTACCTAACTTTCATATTTTCCAACCCGGGTCCTTTGCACATTAGATTCGATCAAATAAGTTTCAGGTCATATACGGCAAAAATTAGCTATGCTGCAGCAGCTTGGAAAAGCAAATTGGAACTTTGGGTCTTAAACCAGCAAATGTCCTCAATACAAAAGTGAAAGCTATAAAAGTTATACGCAGATGGTCAATCTTACTTTAATAGGTTAGGTAATAATCAAACTAAAGGAAAGCACTATAGATGCTGGAGATCTGAATAAGCCCATAAGATGTAGAAGTAGGCCATTCAGCCCATTCAATGGGATCATGACTGATCTGATCACCCTCTACACCACTTTCTTTCCTTTTCCCCCATTATCCTCGATTCCCTCACTGATTAAAATTCTGTCCTTCTCATCCTTGAATATGCTTAATGATCCAGCCTTGATAGTCCTCTATGATAAAGAATTCCACAAATTCACTACGTTCTGAAAGAAGGAATTCCTCCTCGTCATTTTATCTTAAATGTGCAATCCTTCATTTTGAGATTCTGTGCTCTGGCCCTAGACTCTCCCACAAATACTCAACTTCATATTCCCTGTCAAATCCCTTTCAAATCTTGTGTGTTTCAGTAAGGCCACCTCTCCTCCTTTTAAACACCAACTAGTACAGGCCCAACCTTCTCAACCTGTCTTCATAAGGCAGTCCCTCTAAACCCGAGATCAACCTAATGAACTTCCTCCAATGCGGGTGCATCTTTCCATAGATAAGGGGACTAAAACTTTTCACAGTATGCTAGCTGCAAGTCTGACTAGTGCCTTATGTAGTTTGAGCAAAACCTCCTTATTTTCATACTCCACTCCCTTTCAAATAAAGGCCTACATTCCATTTGCCTTCCTAATTAAATAAAGCTAACTTTTTGTGAATTATGCACAAGGACCCAAAATCTCTGTGTTGTAGCTTTCTGCTGTCTTTTGCCTTTTAAATAATATTCAGCTCCTCTTCTTCCTGCCAAAGTGCATAACCTCACATTTTCCCATATTTCCTAACTATCCTTTTTTTTGCCCATTCTAGTTATTTTAACCACTTGCCTTCGCACTTATTTTTGTGCCTTCCTCCAACTTCACTTTCCTCATCCAAGTCATTAGTATATATTGTAAATAACTGTGGCCCCAGCATTAATCTCTGTGGCATTCCAGTTACAGGTTGCCTTCCTGAAAATGTTCTGTCTTTTTTTTTTCGGAGTAGCTAACTAATTGATTACCAACTATTTCTGCATTTTCCAATATTGCACAGATATCACTGCCATGGCATGACTTTAGAATTTAGTGCCAAAGAATGAATGACAAAAATTAGAGCTCTCGCAATCATGAGTAATTGGGTTTGAATGGTGCAATAGGTAACTGCTGAACAAAACCTCTGGTGCTGAAAAAATAATTTTGCAGGTGTAAAAAGTTATTCCCTCAGAAGAAAATTAATATTGCACCACTTTTTTTAAAATTTAGAGCCTCTGCTGTTTGCTCTGCTCAAAGAGAGCACAGATTTTCCTGTATAACATACCATACTGGATCAGACATCTGACAATTAGAAAATGCCATTGTCAATTCTCTCAGCAACTATTTGTGTTGTGAATAGTAAAGCTATTCCTTCTCCATTCTCACCAAATCGAGTTATTTAAAATCTCTGCAGACACTTTGACCTCTGCAGTTTTAAATTTATAACCTGCTGTATCTTCTCATTTGAACACAAGTGGCTTTAGAACCAGTGTCAGGCAGATTTCTAGACAGATTAAAAGCCATGCAAACTTTTCTGTATAGCAGGAGCAGAATAAAATACACCAACTCTGAATATCTGCAACCAGTCAGTGCACAGCTCCACAAGAAAACCTATCAAGGGTGATAACATGCACTTCAACTCAGCGGCAATACGTAGTATTGTGCACACAAACCAAAATAACAAGGAATAATCCAGAGATAGTAGGAACTGCAGATGCTGGAGAATCCGAGAC